TATGTATGTGTGTATATATATATATATATATATATATATTTAGAAAATAAAACCTCTTGTCAATACCAAATATAAAACTTAAAAATATATACAAAAAAATAACATAATAAATTGTTAATAACCATCTCTACATTTAGTAGGAATTTGCCCAAGGCCAGCTATTAAACTATTTGGTCAAACATGTACATACAGACAATGATAAAGCTGCTCACATTAATAAACACCATTATAATTTGAGCCTCTGGTGATAATTATTTCTCCATATGGCCCATCTTGCTCTAATTCTACAGCTTGTTGCTTCTTCAGCACCAAAAATGTGTAGAATTTCTGTGCAACCTTGACAATAAGAAAAACGTATCATTACTGTTATGTTCAAAAGAATTTAGATTTATGTACATATAACTTTAAATTTGAATAAATTTGTAAACAACTTCAACTTTTTCTTTAGAAGCTTTTTACCTTATAGTGATATGGAGCTTATGCATGTTAGAAAACAACAACAAAAGGAATCAGCTTCTACCAATACTTTTATCTTTACTTGCCAATATTTCATAGTTTGTTCATGCTGCTATCAGATCTTATAAGTAGTAGAAAACATGTATTCAAATTTTCTACCCCTGTGTTTCTATCAAGAAAGTGATAAATGTTAGTTTTTCTGAAAGAACATTTCACCTGCTCTACTCATTAGGTCTATTTTCTTCATACATTCAAAGCTAATGTTAATGGATTGTATGTGTTGTGTTTCACAACTAAATAGTATAAATCAAACAACTAAGTAACTGTATTGAAAATGTTCAGCCTCATTCCACTGGACCATATTTTCTGCCTGTTACTAAAACATTGACAACAACTTATACAGTTTGCACTGACATGTTTCAAGCAACATTTAATTCTGAGTAAAAGTTTTGGAGGTGACAGTGTATTACAGTGCTAAAGACTTTAGAAAACAAAAGAAATTGAAGATTGATGATTATTTATGAAAATTATTTTTGATCGTGGAAAAAGTATAATTTTCCCACACTAAAAATATATTTCCGACAGGTTCTTACTTCTGCTCATTCTCATTCAGTGCTGCCTTCTATTTGCAAAATTTTTTTAACTTGCCACAAGCCACTCTCATGTACCCCTCGGTTCACATGGTTTAACTGATTCATGCATGCAAATTGTCATGTGACAAACCTCCACCAATAGACATGCCCGACAGACATGCGAATCCTGTGACTCCCTCTATGTTATTCTACTTAATTTTCACTTCAATTTAGGCAGAAATAAGGTACCTTACTTACTCACATACATGGCTAGAGGGATCAGTTCAAGGAAGAAAGTAGAAGCATCCTTCAAAAGTGTCCAAAGGACACCCTCATGAAGGAACTCTAATAAGAATATGATTCGTTGGATACTGCACCACTTCTGTACCAGGTACTCTTTGCCCAGATGTGGAAAAGGCAAAACATATCCAGGCAGACAAATCTAAGGAGCATATCCCAGTGGGAAAGAAAATGGTCAGTGATTTTAACCACAATATATAATAATTTCAATCTTCCTAGTGAACAAAATGTTGGTGAAAGAAGGGATGTGCCCCAATGTGTAGAGTGGCTGGGGTGCGACAGACCGTACACTGCAAGTCAACTGCTTCCAATACTTGACAGCTGTGAACCAATCCTTTAATTCATATCCCCAACACACTTTTCATTTACCTTTTAGAATATACAACAACAAAAACTTTCTTCAAACAGATGGTTTAAGCATGGGCAACGCTGTTTTACCCGATCTTGCCAACATATTTATGATCCATATCAAAACACAGGCCATACAATCTGCATTTTATCTTCCCCTATACTGGTACAGATATGTCGATGACACTTTTGCCAGTTTCACTTCTATAGAACACATAAACTCCATTCACCCTAACATTAAATTCACCATCGAACACAAAAATAACAAACAGTTGTCTTTTCTTAACCTCGATATTATCAGATTCAACACATATTTCAAAACCAAAATTCACCGAAAAAACACTCACACCTCTTCATCCCCTGGAATTCCACCCATGAATCCAAACAAAAAATTGATATACTAAAAAATATTAGACACACAGCTTCATGACTTTGGTCAACTGAGTACATAGATGAGAAAATAAACTTTATCATGCATTCTTTCATTCAGACCAACAAATTTCCACAAACCATTGTTGAAACATTTCCACACAACCACCAGAACAAAACCTCAAAACTCAACTCACAAACAAAATTGACACTGGTACACCAAACAACAACACAAAATTACACTGCAGTTTACCATTCATCCCTGACATCAGTTAAAAAAAAAATCAACACTTCGAGAAAACTTGCCATCAAACATAAAATAACTGTTGACGTCAAATTCACCCCAAAACCCAGCAATAAACTAAAATCATTATTAAATAAAAATTACATAGAATTACACAATTCCAACGTCATTTATAAAATGCAATGCAATAACTATCCAGAATTGGAAACCAGATTTACTGAACATAATAAAAAACCCTCCCATGTTTACTGCTGTTGCAACTCAAAAAAACATAGTATATCCATGCAAAACACTGTAATTTTAAACTAAGAACCTAACAGCAATAAACGCAAAATAAAAGAAGCTATTTTAATAGAAGAAAACAGCCCCACCTTAAATCAACACCCCAGGGTACCAAGATACCTATATTATACTGTGAAGCAATATCCAGTCATGTGACCTCTTTGTTCTATACTGTATATATATTCATGTATTTCTGTAAACTACTTGTACCTAAGGATGACAAAATATTGTCAAAACATCGTTCATAATAACGTTTTTTCATTTAGATTTGAACAGTTATGATGAAAAAAGCTGTGTGGGTGATATAACAACAAAGAGCTTGAACTGGACATAGAAGTCTATCTGGATCAGACCTGGAAAAAAGGTGGGAAATGGAAGGAAGGGAAATCAGTGAGAAGAAAGAATTATCTTCCCGAGCCACCGATGTCTTGGGAGAGAAAGATAGATTTGGGTAAAGAAGATATGAGGAATGGTACAGAGTACATGAAATGTCAATATCAAACAAATCCGTCAATGACATTCACAGACTAAAAGGAGGAGGAAATATGCTTTAAAGGATAAATTAAACATAGAACAAGAAGACAAGGGTTCAAACAGAAGTAAAGTAAGGCAGTGAAGCACCACGTTGACATCCCAATCCAGAAAGGCTGCATGCCATAGAGGGCAACTAATCTGGAACAGCGTAACAAGAATGACAAGGTTTGGGAGGCAAAAACTTTACGGTACTAGTAAAAATGAAAAGTGTGGGATAGGGCTGCCCAATAACCCACGATTCAAAAACGATTAGAAGAAGGTAAAACTAAAATTGCCAAGAAAGAAGCTACTCGCTGTGATAAACCAGATCACCTTGCCAAGGACCGGATAAAAACCAGGCATGAAGACAAAGGGTAGAAATGGCCGGATGAACTACCTGGGACCAGAGGCTGCCGTATAAGGGATGGAGTATTGGGAAGAGGCAAAAGTGGATCAGATTGGATCTAGAGTAGTCAAAGAAACCACAGTTGGGCTGGCCAGTAAGGGGCAATCAGAAGGACTTGATATGGAGTGAAGGATGATAGAAATCACCCTTGGAAGGAGTCAGATAGGAGAATACACACAAGGGAATTTATCTGTCCAATCCTGACTGAATGTATCGAGATTCACAGCAAGTGAATGAGGCACCAGAGACCAAAACTGGTGATAGTGGCAAATGCATCCAGATGTGAAGTACCCATCCGAGTGCATAACCACCGGAAAACCTGAGGATCTAGAGACCACTCCATCAGATAAATTTTGTCTGGGCGGGATAAATGTGACATGAAAATAGCTGAATACTGTGCGTGTGAGCCCAAAAAAGGATATCCATTGGTTCGACAACAAATGTTCTGCGACCGAATGGTTTTACCTAATCAATATCCTGGAGCTTTTTGCTGTCCATTGGGATTTGGATAGTTTTCTTCCTCTTTCCTTCTTCTCACTGATTTCCCTTCCTTCCATTTCCCACCTTTTTTCAGGTCTGATCCAGATAGACTTCTATGTCCAGTTCAAGCTCTTTGTTGTTGACCTGAAGCAACTTGCTGCTTAACCCACGTCATCCAGCCGTGAAATGAACATCCATAAAAATATATAAATCTGGAGGAGGGGGAGAAAGTGGAACACCCCTGGAAGTGTGAACCTTGTCCAACCACCAATGCAGATCAACTACAAGGGAAGGAGGAAGGGTAAGAGGAATACCCAAGGGATCCTGTGAAAGGTTCCATTGGTCATGAAAAGTCCATAGAGTAGATCTCATATGAGCATGACCCATGGGGTTAAGTGCACCATCTTCAAAAGAATTAGGACCTTGCGAGCAGTAAGGGTGTTGATGCCAGCTCCATCAAACAGAGTCAAAAAGGAGAAGGTTGGGCCTGACTTAGATGAGTGTTGAACAAAACACCCAATGAATAAGATATTAGGTAGGAACAAGAGAAGTGATTGAGGCATGACAAATTGATCACAGTCCGCTAGTCTCTGGTTTTCTTGGGGATAACAAACAGCCTGGAATAAAACTGCAGAGAAGGGTGAATCACAAGACAGCCTCAGACAGATGCTGACATGTGGTAGGATGGAAAAGAAATGGGTATTTGAAAAATGGAGGAGGAAAGAGGAAATGGATGACAAGTCCCTCGGACAAAACCTGAAGGACCCATAGATCCCTGGTGAAGTCTCGCCATAGATGAGAAAACTGGGATAAATGAGCACCCACCAGATGACAGCCCACAGGGTAGTCACCGATACTGTTGGCAGCCAACAATCGCCATCAAATAATACAACGAGAAGATCATCCCCAAGTGTAAGAAACTGGTAAGGGTTGGGAAGGATTAGGATGGGGAACAGAAATAGGGACGAGGCTTCATGTGAGATAAACGATCAACCAACAAGGAAAGAGTTGATTGTTGTCTTACAAATTCCACTCAGAATTCCAAAGTTGCCGGATTATCTCCAAACATGACCAATGGCGAAAAGGGGGCAGGCATAAGTCCCTAAGATAAGGAGATGGCAAATGAATGTGGGACAAAACCATGTCTCTCCCCAAAAGATCCCAACAACAGAGGAACCACATGTGTAAAGAAAGAGATAAAGATGACAAATGTGCTAACAAGGATGTAATTAAAGCAAATGTATCACCCGAAAAACCCTTAGGATCTTGGTGGATCACCTCAAACAAGTACCATAAGATAGATGTGAGAGTAAGATGAAGGCAAGAAAATTGGGCATGGAACAAAAGAACAGGACAATCAAGGTCCACCTCCTAAAATGACAGAATGGTTTCCAGTTGTTGAGAATCAAGGAACAGAAGATCAGCCTGATGGTAGGCTATAGCAAACTGATCCAAAGCCCATAGAGAGTGAGGCATGCCCGTGCCATCATGAAACTGAGATGCAAAATGCTCAGCATGAACCCTAATATGAGCAGATGATGGAAACAATAAATACTGAGAGGAAGGAGTATCATATAACAAGTAAGGTAGAGGATTATAGGAACTCGGAGAAAGGGATAAAACAGAAGATACCTGCAAAATCATGTTCAAAAAAGCCGTATTAGACCTAACAGAATCTACAGTAGGAACTTGGGAAGACATGGCAAAGTCAGGAAGAGGAAAAAGGCTGTCAAATGTGTCATCATACCAAACAGGTTCGGCTTGTTCAGGAGGAAGATGGGCAACATCAGGAGAAGAAGGTCGGCTTAAATAATGATCAATCTGTTGATGAACAACTGCCAATAATTCCAAAGTCGAGTTCTTCCCACCTGAAGCCTGAGTAAATGTGCTGGTAGAACCTCCAATTTGGTAACTTGCACTTCAGAATTCATAATGCAAATGAAAAATCAAACACAACTATGTTAGTAAAGAAAAGCATGGAAAAATGAGTAAGTTCTTTAACTGGGTAGAAAATTAAATAATATCACGATGAAATGAGGTACAAATAACAACTATTAAAAATAAGTAGGAAACTGGAAAATACACAATACAAAAATTCAAAATTCGAAGAGAATACAAAATAAAACATCATCACAAGAAAGTGATAGTTAGGTAGAATAGCATAGGGAGTCATATAAATCGTGGGGGGGGGGTCTATTGGTGGAGGTTTGTCACATGACAATTTGCATGTGTGAATCAGTTGAATCAAGGGGTACGTGGTGGTGGCTTGTGAAAAAAATTTGCAAATAGAGGGCTGCACTAAATGAGAATAGCTATGTATGTGAGCAAAAGTAAAGTACTTGGTTGGAAATAGAAGTAATAACTAGATCTTTCTCAAGGCAAATGAAGTGGACTGCACTTCAGGTATTGTCATAGAAGGCAGAAATACCCAATTGGTTGTTCAATTTCTGAACACCACATGCAAAAGTTCATGTTAGATGAGTAGTATATATTTTATTTTTTATCATGAAATACTAATCCTGCTGCAAAACCTAAAGAAAGAAAATAACCCTAGCTTTCAAATGATATACTACTACATGTTGTGTATAAGACTTAGAAATTACGTATAGCTATTTCAGAAAGATGTTAATCTTTATGAACATGATGGAGCAAAGTCCACCATAGGATGGCTCTGCAAAAGTGCATATTATGCACAGTTTCACCCCCACTCATGTACATTGGGTTAAAATCATTACTCCTTGTGTCATTTTACATATCTTCTAATAAGTACGAACAACTTAAGTACTAATAAGAGTATGTAACTTGAGAAAATTGTTACTTATTGTTTGAGTTCATAAGGTAAACTGTTCTGTGCTTTTATAGATATATATTGAATGTTTCACTATAATTTACATTACTGACAAAATTGACCCACAGTATAAACACTCACTAACTTTTTTAACCTTTTCTTTTTCATTCAGGTGGCAGTATACTGCCATTTCTGTATTTATATTCATAGAAATTAAAAGCTTGTAAGTATCGCATTTGAAACACAGGCACTTCAAACAGAGAGCATGTTAACCATTTGAACGTTTATGACCCTAAATTAGATTTATATTAAAATAAAAACCACTACATGACCTGGCTATATACTATACCATTACACACTATGCCTGTGACCTTTGAACTGAAAGCCAGCTTTCACACACACATACATGCTTAATATCAGAGGCTTAGTCACTTCTTACACTAACCCACTTTATTGAAAGAATTTTGCAATAAAGTAGATTATATGTCATTAAAACTAATGTAAATACACAATTTATATTACTATATGTTATTTATAAGACTTAGAAATTATGTACAGCTGCTTGAAGGACACTAATTTCTATGAGCATGCTGGAGCAAGGTCCACTACAGGATGGTGCTAATTTCAAATTACCAATGGGATCACGTGTAAAGTGAAAAGAAACTGCCAAAATAATAATTTGAATAAAATAAACAAACAAGCAGGGAAAACATTAAGATTGACATATTTTCTTTAATTGTCGTATATAAAACCCAAACCATATTGTAATTGTATTGTTTAAAAGTATGTGACAAAGAGGCTTTTGATTGTACTTACTACAAATTTACAAATTCATACGAGGGAGAAAGGAAGTTCTGTGGCAAACAGATTGAGAGAAAGAAAACAACCCTAACTTTCAGGTAATATATTTTTTATTTCATTAGCTTTGAAAGCTTGGAAATCGTTTAACACAAAGTGCAGCTACTTGGAATTTTACAGTTTTTGACACTATCAATTTCAAACTTTCATTGTTTAAAACTATTTGTGTTAGAAATAAGGAACAAACATGTACAAAATGTAGCTTAAATACTTCTACTCCAAAAATAAAAATTATAATGGGAGGCAAAAAATAAAAAACCTTAAAAGTTACAAGTCTAAATTCTTATTTACTCCAAAACAAATGTTAACAAAAAAATTATTTCAAAGTTAGTTTTATTTTACAGGTGATGTGATTTAGAGAGTGATACCAGACAAAAGTTTTTAATACTTAATGTTATCACATGTCCTTGTTAAACAGACTAGAAAGGTTAAGAATCTTAAAGATAATGCACAAAACATTGGTAATTACAGTAAATAGTTCATTATTGATTGAAGTTTTTTTTTTTTTGGTTAGTAAGAATTTATGTCCCTATTTAAAGTACAGTGAGTTTAAGCAATTTTGCTGTGTAAAAAACATTATAAACAGTTTTTATTTTTATATTTGTCATAAGATAAAACCATTAGGCTTAATGTATTTTTTAACACTAACTTCTTTATTCAGTCCCTTAGGTGATGTTCTGAGAAAAACAGTATATAATAGAACATATTGTTTGATGGTGAAATAAAACATACATACACAGACATTCCCTGTTCCAAGTATATTTTGTATAGCTTATTTTACTGGACATTAAAATTGAATAATCTACAGTTTTTACTTTTAAAGGTGATTTAAACTTACAGATCAATTACATTCAACTTAGCAAAAATATTTCAATTTTAATGTGAATAAAACAAAATAAAAACAGCTTCCTTTTAATAAACAGTAACACTGTCTCAGAGCTTTGGGTCTAATATGCCTTATTCCACAAATGATAGTCTTTAAAAGGGATTAAAATGTTAATTTAATTGTATATTATCTGAAGTAAGACTTAAATTATTCTGTTTTACTAAAATAGGTCAACTCTAACATTGTTAATAGACAAGTACCATGATATAAGGTCTAGTTTGTTACTTGCTAGAGCTGTCGAGCCCTAAAAGTGCATTTCTGAGAATATAACTCATTATTTTTAATATTAACTGGATCTGTCTTTTACTTTTATGTAGATATCTTCAAGATATTTTCAGATGGGTTGTACTAACTTAAAAAAAGCAATATTTGGACTGAATAATTTGTATTTTATTCACAATAATTTAACACATGGAAGCCCAAAATAGAAAAAAACTCACTTGCTTGCGCATGTTGTTTCTCACCAAGTCAGAAAATCGCATCTTTTTTCCTGCTTCTAGCCCATGTTGTATTATGTGAAGCATGTGGACTGTTCTTTTATTAAGAATACGTTCTTCAAACTGTTCATATGTTTCATCTGCTAATTGCTCCTCAGGCTAAATTTTAAAAAAGAACAAAAGAGAGATTATGAAAGTTACTATCTCCATTTATTTTACAGACATTGTGTCAATTATTGTCAAATTATTCATGGACGAGACAGAGATAAACCTGAATGATCTTGGAACACAAACATAATACAGCAGCATGAATATTATGAAGGTTAGTGGTTGTAAAACATGAAGACGAGCTACCAGACCTACAGGGAACTTGTTTTTTTCTAAGCTAAATAAAGAATTATATTTTTATATACTGTCTGATGTAAGTAGATAACACTAAGTATTTTTCAGTCATTTGGTATATTCACTTATTTCTGAACATAATTTGGACCTCTATGTAATATTACCAATATTAAGGAGAAGTATCCATCATCTCTTGAGGAATTGCATAGAACATGGTATATTTATGAGCAAATGATTTTCCATTTATAAATATATATATATATATATATTTTGTCACAGTTTTCACAACTGTTTTGCTAAAATTTTTGTCCTTCAAATTTAGGGATGACAGGTCCATTAAGAAACAAAAGAGCCTTCACCAATTTCAATTTCCCATGTACTGGTAAATTTAGTCTGCTAGCTTTTCATCAAAAGCACTGGTAGTTACGTGTTTGAGAAAGCATCAACAGACATATCTTCTGTATGTATCATTCTTTAAAGTTAGAAAGAGCAAATTAATTCTCTGTCCAAACAAAATTTTCTCTCAATTGCCTTACGTGTATATATAGGTTGTGTTCATCTCACATACTCTTGTTATAGCTATTACTGGGAAATCCTAATTATTACATGATGCATTCTTAACTAATGTCAATCACTTATCTTGTGACCTTACAAATATACTTACTTATAAGATGCTATTTATGCCTATGATGCAATTTCATCTATGCAAGTTACTGATTCTATTGGATTTTGTTAAAGAGCATGAATGATTTCAAATTACTGGCAGGTTAATGTTAATTATACATAGAATTGGCAAGAGGTTGAGAATTGTTTTATATTACCAGGAGTCCCCACCAAAATTAAGACTTAACAGCTTTATGTGTTTGAGAATTACAAAGATCATATTGTGTAGCACGTGAACATGATAAATGTTAATCTGTGTCATACACAAACACAACAAAGGTTTAAATTAATAATACATGAAACACATAAATGTTAGATTGGCTTACAAATAAACACAGTAATGGATAACGTGGGTGGGTGGGGGAGCAGGTATGTGATATTGAATGGTATGTAAAATAATTTTCATCAAAGTCAACAATTCACTACAAAAAACAGCAGTAACAACAACAACTATCAAAAGTTACAGCTTATAACTGATAAAAAAACCAATACAAGCAATGAAAATCAAAATTTAAATAGCTAATAAAAAATTAATATGTACAGTGAAGATAAAGAGTTAAATAAAAATAAACAATACAATGAAGACAGAAAGGTTAAGACTGATTGTGTAAATATTTTATCAAGTTGTCATTGTACATTTAAATATACACAAAGTTCTACACACAATATGCATTTTAACTGTTATAACTACTGTGTTTGTAAAGCATACCAGGCACATGTGCCAGATGCGGCTCAAAACTGTAGTGCATTGGAGGTGAAATGTTTTTTACAAGTTTACCTAAATTATAAATGAAAAAGGTTAATTTTGGATTAAAAACATAATCATCTGAGTGGTTAACCTGGAATTCGAAAATGCAAGAATTATTAAGCTATAATTAGATTATATAGAAATAATATAAAACTCACAGGTCCAACACTAGCTGGAGCAGCATAATCTTCCTCTTCTTCAGCCAACTGCTCTTTATGGTTTACAGTTACTGGTTGTAACAGCTCCTCTTGCTGCTGTTGTACATGCATTTCTTGAACCTTCTCTACTTCAGATTCCACTGGTTGAGGCTGTTGTTGCTGGAGAAGGGGTTCATCATGCAGTGTGGCAATTGCTGTTGCTAAAATATCAGTTGTTTGATGTCCCTCTAATACAGGAAGTGGATGTCCCTCTAAAGGATGAAGTGAATGTTCCTTAATGGGGATAAGTGGATGTTCTTCTACAGGAGGAACTGGGTTAAGAGGTTCAGCCTCTGTTTGAGGACCAAGCTGCATAACAACACATCATAATAACATTAGAACAAATAAAATGTCATAAATAAGCTACTTCTCTGTGAATACTTAAAACTACAACACCTTACATCTTAAATACAGAATGTAAATATAGTTTTTCATTATGTAATTTTACCAAAATGTCATAAATAAGCTACTTTTCTGTGAATACTTAAGACTACAACACCTTACATCTTAAATACAGAATGTAAATATAGTTTTTCATTATGTAATTTTACCAAAATGTCATAAATAAGCTACTTTTCTGTGAATACTTAAGACTACAACACCTTACATCTTAAATGCAGAATGTAAATATAGTTTTTCATTATGTAATTTTACCAAAATGTCATTCTCAACTTTTTTAACACCCAATTAACATTTCTGCATTTTCTATTCACAATAATAATAATAATATGTTTTCTGGTGATTTTTGCTTGTATAATGTACAGTTAATCATTTGCACTCAGAATGAACTTACAACACTACTGCCTATAATCTTACCATTCCTGTCTCATGTACAGGTAAGGGAGGCAACTGTTCTGTTGCTAATGGTACTTCTGTGGAAATATCAAGAGGAAAGTGTGGTATAGACTGATCTATAGGAGGAATAGGTTGTGCTGGTACAGAAGTTTCTAGTTGAGGTTGTTCTATCCTAGACATTTCTTCTGGAATCATTTCCCTCCTCCTTTTGTGTGATGGCACTACATAAAGTTTATCATACACATATAGGTATGGGGTACTTTTACATGTCTGAAGAAATATTCAACAGAATAAATTAGTAGCATCAATGCTATATATTCTTCAAAACTTACATAAATACAGGTTCCCTGTAGTAGGTAAAAGGCAACTAAAAACACCAGACACGTAATGTTCAACAGATTTCAACAATAATACAAAGTAACAAATCTTGAGTACTTAACTCTATACACTTTTAAACAGATATCTTTACCACAACAGCAACAGATAATGAGATACATAAATATGCCATGCACAATATGACTACAATAATGTTTTTATACAGCCAAGCTACGTCCTGCATTATTTCAGTCAAAAATCACAACTGAACATTTTCACACAAAAAATCTTAAAAACCTACAATTCGAAAAACAAACAAGCAAGAAAATGAAGGGATTATTTACATAACTGTTATTTCACAATATCACAAATGAAGTTTTCAGACCTTTAACTTTTTCCCCCAATGAACACATACTCATATGCTTAAACCAGGCCTTGACAAATATTTTCAGATCTAGGAGCCAGCCCCCAAGACTCAGGAGCCAGGTGTGCCTAACCTAACTTCACTACAGTTTTTACCAGGAAATGGGGCTACACTAGTGCCTCGATTATCCAAGTCTCTCTGTTATCCATGATCCTTGATTATCTGCAGTTTTTTCTTTTCCCCAGATCTTCTCAAAATAATTGTGCCATTACAATTCTAGACAATAATTTACATGTTTTGGAGAAATTGTCACTCAAAAATTAATTTTGGCTGCAAAAGTTCAGGTGTTGCACAACATTTGGGGTTTTTGCATGCAGGATCTGGCATGCGTTCAAATCGTATGTTGGCCATTTAAGCCTAGCCTTGCCTCTTTTATTTTTAGCTGTTAAGGAATACAAAATATTTGTAGCTTGGTTAACTTTATTTGATAAATGATTAAAAACATAGTATAGAAAAACACACAAGATACACATTAAGATTTCTTCTGTTCTATGCTGCATGGCAGGCAGCCTTTAACCACAGATGCATGATCAGGTTGTGTTGGAGTGTCACCCAGTTACGTATTGTACTCTTCTTTACTGATAATTGGTATCTTCAGTCTGTTTTAACAAAGGCTTTTTCATAATAATTCCACAGCATAGATTTGTGCTAATTTTTGATTTATTTTTCATATGTGTTCCGTGTTTATAGAAGAAAAAAATTGCTAAATTTAGGAGCTATTTATGCCTACGTTAGCAATTAAGTTCAACTAAAACAGGAATTGACAATCAAAAGGAGGAATTATTATAGAAGAAAAAGTGGAATTGGACTCGTGTAACTCATGAAATTCAGAATAAATTGAGTGTGACCAACTGACTGACCGATCAACACTTGGCTTTTATGATTATGATGACTCTTATAATTTTTCATGATAATGTGATTAAACAACAGTAAAAAGATTATAATTTAAAAAAGGAAGTTAAATATATTGAAAAATTTTATTTATATTAAACTAATGGGCTAACTAGTGAAATACACTAGTGTCTCAATTATCCACATGATATTAGTAACGTGTTGTGCAACTGCAGCACTTCATTCCTGAAAAAACATGAAGAAGTGCCAAATTCATCAATAAAATCATAGAAACAGTTTGATTTAGGACTCAAAGAATGCAAAAATAGATCCAGACTTCCAAGTGTCCAGATCTGTTCTAGATTCGAGTTCCATTTAGCACAGCCTCATGCATGAATAAAATGAGAGAAAATACTAGGCATCATGATGGAATTTTAGTCACCATGGTGACCTGGCACCCGAGATCTGTCAAGGCTTGGATTAAACATACCCTTTTTTTTTTAAATTAAACATTTGAAAGCTGTAAAGAAAAAAATCTAGATATAGATGGGGTATTAAAAACTCTAACTTCAATGATTTAGATACTTGCACATTGGCATTAAAACATACACAATATACACAGAATAATGCTTAGTGCACTGTAAAAGAAATCCTACCTTCCTCTTCTCGGAGATGTTCTGGCTGTCCATCTAAATCAATTTTATCTTCTTCAAGACCAAACTCCTCATTATCCACAGGCCTGCTTGTCAAATGCCTTTGGTAAAGCTGAGATTGTAATTAATAAAATACTCATGAAATATTATATTTCTATATAGTGTTAGTAACATTTTCAGTGTTCTGCTTCCAACAGCATCAGTCACATTATGAGAAAGCTTTATTTCTAGTGAAATAATTTATATTTTTCATTATTATTTTGTTAATGTTTAAAGGAACCTAAATGAAAAAGCATTATGTATCAATGATTTTTAAACTTCACTAATTACTGAAATGTTTACTAGAAGTTAGCAGGTTAGGAATGTATTAAATACTGTAACTTAGAAAATCAAGAAGAATTAATAGAGCTCTGTTCCAAGCAAATAATATGTAATATAAGGCTACCTTTGATAAGCTTTTTGAGAGAATGGGTCGGCCTGGTAGGGCAAAAAGCTTCTCAACTCCTCCACTTTCTTTCCAGTGCATAAGTCGTTTAGTTGGAGGAGCCAAATCAAGGGTGGTAACAATGTCTGTTGTATCAGAAAGCTGGGACTTCATCTCTTCCCCAGATATGTTTTTCACTTCATCCACAACCAGTTTTCGTTTACGTTTACCTTTGGCTTTTTCTGCTCCTAGAAAGGTGATATAACATCAAAATGTTTATTTTACCAATGTGGTTAAAACAAATATTAACCACATGTGTAAAAACTAGCATTTAAGATTACAAACATTTTGTAATTATAACGAAAATATTGGTTCCTAAATTCTGACAAGTTTTTGGTTCATTGCTCTGAGATTTCTGAGAATATTAAAAAACTGGAAAGCCCTGCTGGGTATCTAATAATCAATTCAAATAAATTCTCAGTATTGACTGAAATACCTGATAATTAATTTTTTTAACAACTTGGATGATTCATTATACAAAGCTATATATAAAGCTTTTAAACTAAAAACAAATCCAGTATTTTTTTAAGGAAGTTACTAATCATGTTCTTAGTAAAATTAAAACACAACTATAGTAGTTAATTATAAATAATAATCAAACTTTTATGCTAAAAACTCAGTACTGACCTAGATACTTAATTTGTAACAAAGTTCTTAAACTAAGAACACATCCATTATAATTAAAAAAAACTTAAAATAAAAAAGTTCTTAACCTATAATAACTTCTATTAAAAGTTATCTTTACCATGTACTAGAGTAGCATCAAGTGGTGCAAGAGCAAAAGTCTCTTCTTCATTATGGATTAAAGTTGTCTGGTCTTGTGGCATGACTTCAGGCTGGGGCAGGGCACTTTGATCAGCATCTGGTGGTGGAGGCATGCCTCTATCATCCCCTCCTCCAGTATCATCAGCCTGCATGGGTTGAGCAGCTTCTTCTGGTGGAGGAACTGAACCAGGAGTTGAAGGAGCTGATATCCTCCCCATGGAAGGAGGACCCATATCTATTAAATACAAAAGCTCTTGTACAAATGGTGTAATCTCAAACTGGTGTTACTCATACTTCTTTGAAAATTCTCTGTCTGAGTTAATAAAAGATTTTGTAAATATTAATACATAATAATCACAAAAGCCTTCAAATATTATATTGGATGATCATAGTTTTATGGCATCATAATGATGTATACATCATTCTATTGATAGTCCTAAAGAAATCATTAATTCCTATTTCACACCAAATAACCATTGAATGTAATATCAGGCTTTAATCTAGGCTAAACTTGAATGAAAATGTATCTGAAAAATACATCAATATACTTAACCTGTTTCACATATGTAATATGTAATATGGGGGGGGGGGCACTCAAAATAAATTAAACAAACCCACACCAAACAAGATTTTAAATTAAACACACTGAGATTCATTTGAATGATTCATATTCACTAACCCTATCGCCCCAGGTACCCTTCACTGCGCATTACACAAGGTTTTAGTGTCTTACATTTAAAATTTTACTACATTACTTTTTGTTTATGTTATACCAATTAAAATAGCATAAAATATTAGTTAATAATTCATCTTTTAATAGTATAAAAGTTTAAAGTTCTTAATTCTACAAGGCAATATTTAAAAAAATCCTGAATTTCCACTAGTGTGATCCATGTGACACATTTTCTCTAACATGTCATCATCCCTATTTTATCCACCACCTCTCAAAAAAGTACGAGATTAAACGTAAAATACTCTCTATAAAATTTTTATTGCTCAAACAAACCATAATTTTTATAGCCTCCAATTTTGTTTGGTTACAGTGCTATCAATTGGAAAATTTTGAGAGGTAAGTGAATTTGTCTACTTTTTGCATGTTATTAGACTATATTCTTTGGTGCATTATTAAATTAAATCAAAATTATTAAGTACATTACTATCTATAGTACATAATAATTAGGATTAACTCTCTTCAAAAACCTGAGAGCAAGAAAAAAGAAGATTGGGTAAGTACTTTATTTCTTGTTTTTCATATTTATTCTTTCTTTATTATTATAAAAGTAGCTAAAATATGAAAATACAGATCTTTTTAAATTATTTAAGACTAGATTAGGTAAAATAAGTAATAATAATAATAATATAATACTTAAAATGCTTCACAAGGCACACACGTGAGCAGCTTGTGGGTAATATAATTCGATAGTATGACTTGAGCTGCATGTTCCCTGAGTGATTTACAACTTATAATGGCATGGATAGTAGTTAGACACAGTTCAAAGGGCAATAAAACTATAAAATTTAATTATAAATAGATGTATACTGTTATGAACTTAGAGCTACTTAGGATAAACGTAGAATGTAGTTTCATGTTACAATTTGAAGTCATTCTAAAAAGAAAAAAAAGGCATTTAGGTTTATTTCGATTTTTTTTGTGGTTATGAGGTTGGTCAAATTGACCGATCCCATTTTGAGATAGGGTAGAGAAAATAACAGATAAACTATAATGTTTTACAGAAAAAAAAAACGTTTAAATTGCATTTAGGAGATTTTCGGGATTACACAAAGGAAATTTGAGATTTTTGAGATGAGGAAAAGTATTTTTAATTTTAACATGAAAATTACTTTGCACACGGACTATTCAAAACAAATACTCAATATATTAATACGTCTCTCATATAAATCATCATGCGTCAACCCTTCACCAATAAGAGTACGACATACTCTCATGTCACACCCTCTATTCAATCCTACCAAACTATCGTATCTTGGCACAAGATGGAAGCACTGGTTTTCAGTGGAGAGGAAAAGTGGGAAGCATGAAAGGAGGTAAGTACCTATCAAAATATATTTCCAGAACAGGAAAATTATAACTTCCAATATGGTACATTACCTCCGCTCTCATAAATAGCTAGAATCCCACACTGAATAGGTGGAGGGACCAGTGTGAGGGAAAGAAAGAAGTGTCCTTTGAAAGCATCCAAAAGACACTCCCAAAGAGTAAACAGTCAGATTCTAAGATCTGATGTGGGGGACCACACCACATCTGAATCAGGTATCATAGAAAGATTTCACACATATGGGCAGAAAACGGAGGAGCACATCCAAGTGGGAGAGAGCTAAGGTTGGTTAGTGATCCAAACTATATAATATTCATGCAACTGTATCCCAGAAATTATAAAAGTGGGTAAAATTAAAAGGGGTTGTCCTAGGTGTAGAGTGGCTAGGGCATGACGAACCATACACGGCAAGTCAACTACATTCAAACTCATGCTGCTGGGAACCGACATCCATGCAGGGGTAGGATGAGGATCATCCCATCAGTAAGTCAACTACAATTCAAAGTCCGGACACAGGGGGTAGAAAAGAGGATTATACCATCAGCAAGTCAAGTACAATCCAAAACCCATGCCACTGGGAACCAACATCCATGTGGGGGTAGGAAAGAGGATAATACCAGTGGCAAATCAACTACAATCCAAAACCCAGCCATCTGGTGGGGGTAGGAAAAAAGGATCATACAGCCTTCACCTCAAGTTCATGAGGCCGGAGGGAATCAAGAACCCCCAGACCCGAGAACAGGGCACATGTTAATATAAGTAATTGATAGATTAATCCAGGAACCCAACATCTGGTATTAAAAGTATGTCAGCATAAAGTTAAACATCTCCCTCAAAAGAGAAATTGAGTGGAACTGCCCCAAGCACAGTAACATCCTCAGAATAATATGCATCAAGGGATAGCAGAAGGAAAAGAACCATAATAATCTGCAAGTACACCCATAGTGACCCACAACATGGATGGAGTAGCAAAAGTAGAATCGAGGGAGGAATATGGACATCCGTAATACATGTGTGAGGACTTGTGTTCATTGGTTCAACTATAAATCCGAAACTCAGCCACTGAGAAGTGATATCCACATGGGAATAGTATGAAAGATCCCAATCAAAGGGGTGAACTGCAATTTTGATGATTCACTCCCCTTTAAATTTGTTTCATAATAGAGGATATTACATCATCTACACCAGCAGAACACCACTGCCCTACTGTCAAGTGAATAGTTTTAAAATCATTTCTATATTCTGTATATATTTCATTATCACAGCCAGGAGGATGTCTCCACAGTCCATCACCCAACGGCTTGGAACTGGAACGTAGTAAGGACTCTCTTAACTCAACTAGAAGAAAAAAAAAGGGGGGGGGGGTAAAATGCAGTGTAGAGTCCAGAGGAACATCAACACCTGAGACAATGCAATTGGTGACCACGAAAGACCAATCTTTAAAATCAGACCATACCAATTTACTCAATATAAGGCATGACAGGGATGAGCAGCTATCTTCTTCTGCTTTACCCATGTAGTCAGGGACGGGCAAATTTTTTGTTACTCCACTGAAGTCAAAGCCACTGGAAAACAAAAGGATCGAGAGACCACTCTGTCAGATAGATTTTATCTGGATGGCAATCTGATCCACAACAAGAGCAAAAGCACTCAAAAAATGACATGCAGGGATATGAATATTGAGCATGTAGGCCCAAAAAGATCCAATGTATGAATACAGAGGGATCAAGAACGGGTGACACCCTGGTGATTGAGATAAGCAATTATTGGAAAAAAGTCGGAATGGATCTTTACCAGACAATTTCTGGTCAGACAGAGAAAATGAACCAAAGCACAACTTACAGCAAGAAGCTCCAGGATGTTGATATGAGAAGATTTCTCACCCACAGCTCAAAACTCTGAATGTTCCTGTTGATCAACCAATGCCACCTATCCCTGAAGGGATGTGTCCATGAAATGTGTAAATCTGGATGAGGATGAGGAAACAGGACATCCAATGACATGTGATTAGTGTCTAACCACCCATGCAGATTATCGACAAGAGTAGTAGGAAGGGTAATAAGAGCCGACAAAGAATCCATTGCAAGATTCCATTGGTTGTGAAGAGTCCATGAAAGAACTCACATGTGAGCCTGATCTAAGGGGGTAAGGGCTGTCATGGAAGATCACATCCCCAAAAGCGACAGAACCTCGCGAGCTGTAATAGAACTGAAAGCCCCATTGAACGAAGTCAAAGAGGAGAAGGATGGGCCCAACTGAGATGGGTGTTTAAAAAGAAAAACACCCAAATGGACAAGATATTGAATAGGTCGCAGTAAGAACTTCTCCAGCTTGATTAACCAGCTCACTATAGCCACCTCCAAGAGCAGCTGATGAGGGTAACAGGCAGACTCCCGTTTGGACACAAATTTAGGAAATGAATTAGACTTATGCATATTCTGATATGAATAAATAATTTTAGCATCACAAGCCTGATTTTTGCCAGTTTCTTGTATTTTGTAAATATGTACCTTATTTGATCAGTATTTTCTTATGCGCAAAACGTTTAGGTAATTCTGACACTGGCAGAAGTAACAGACAATTACTTGACAGAATATATACACTTTTCTACGACTACTTAACCCTGTTTAAACTTGCATGAACTGACCTGACAAGGATCAGAGCCAGTAAGATGGAATGTTCTGTTCAAATTTTGGAAACTTTTTTAGAGTATTTTATGAACTATAATCCTTAAACCTCTTTTAAACAACAGTAGGACTGTACAAAATTCAGTACTGTGACTAAAGGGTAAAACAAGTCTGCACACACATACTAGAAAAATAGTAAACCATATACTACTATCTACTATCTTACTGACAACACACAACTTTCATTATATTTTTGTATCATGTGTTTATTAGACACTTGAAATGTATTTAAACGCAGGTAAATTAAATTATTAGTGATTTGTAATTGGTCTATTTCCTATTTAAAGTTAAAAAGAAACAAGGAATAGATAAAAAAAAGCTTTTAACTTACCATACATGTCATCATCGTCATCAGACTCTGTAGGCCTGGCTTCTATTTGTGGTGCAGATGAAGGACCTTCCTGAGCCTCAGGGAGATTTTCAGCATTGCTAGTATCCATGGGTACATGGCCTAGTGGGGCATCATCAAAAAGTCCAGCAGGCTCAAATAATCCTGATGCATCTCCTTCTAAATTTAACAGAATAATTAAATAATTTTAAAATCAGTAATATCAGGTTTTAGCTTCTTTATCTATGTATATATAAAAAGCACAAACATCTGTGTGTTTGTCTGTTATCTAACTACATCTAGATTAATGGGCCAATTAATACCAAACTTTGTTGGATGATAGTTTAGAACAAGGGGCATGTTAATAGGGGGTTCACAACATCCTCCATCCTATTATTGCTATTATTGAGCATTTATTATCTTTGATGTAAGTTAAATACATTCATAGATGATGCTACTTCCTTACATAAAAAAAAAAGAAGTTTCTATAACACAACATACACACAGTACTGGGGGAAGGCACACAAACATCTTATATATCTCAGAGTGCTCCAGCACTCTCTGTGGATGAAAGCAATGAAAAAATGGCCACCACTATCGCAATGCTACATAAACTCAGCTGAAGAGTTTACTCCAATAGCTACAATAAGACTGATATGAAGAGCCATTTCTCGAATTATACCCATTTCCTTCTTTTACCTGTGACCTTTCAACTTTGGCCCATTAGACACTTCTGCAGATGACCATCAATTAATTAATCACATGAAACACTGTGGAAAGATATTAAGAGCTGGGTGTTAAAGCAGGTAACAGAAAAAAATAATATAAATAATGAATATTGCAATGTTATGTTATAAATAAATTGTATGAAAGTTATGAGTTTTGTGTTTATTTATCATAGCATCCACCCCCATATTTTTTTAAGTTCATAACCCAGACATAAGACAGGTACCTTAGTTTGATTCACATAAAAAGAAGCCTTGATAAAAAAAATGTAGAATTCAAAAAGGAATGTTTTTTTTTTTCATAACTTTATGAAATTTAGAAACAAATTCCAAATGTATAGCCTTTATTAAGACTTTTATATAAATATTTTTGAGCATACTTTAGCTTTGTTTCTTTAAGTCCTGTGATCTGGCACATACAGTCAACCCTATCAGACAAGTCTTTCCCAGTTTCTCTACTGCTGATATTCATATTAAGATACAATACTATAAATCAACCATACCTAACAACTTCAGCTTCTCTATCATCACAATCATACAAAGCCCTTTTTTCACAGTTTCTCCACAGCAATGCTTATATAGTGCATATTCTGTTACATTACAAAAGCCGTGATCTCTAAGCCCTCTTTTGTAAATTCTTAAAAAATGATATTAATGTACAATAATTGAACCCTACTGGAAAAAGTATTTCCTAAGGTTTCTTCAAAACTATTATGCATTGTATTATGCATATTATTTAGATCACTGAAAATTAATGCTTCTATTGTGGTTTTGTATTTGAAATTAGGCCTGCAAGTTAACATGGCTGTAGCAAATGTTTATTGAAAAAATAAATTAATTCATTATCATTATATGGACTAAACTTAGCATTATTTTAACCAAATAATCCAAAAGAATCCTCCCCAAAATAGAACATGTTACAACACTAGTGACAGAAGCAGGATTATTTTAGTAAAAATAAACAGGACTTTCACTAAATACACAGGCCTGTGAACTTAAACTTCATAAAAGTTGTTTTGGTTTTAATAATAGATTTCCCATAATTCATCTATACAGATTTCGAAAATAATATTAATATTTTTCTAACCCATAACGATTTTTTACAAATTGGGAAGAAAGAAAAACTCTTGCTTAGATCAACTTATTATTTTGTTTACCACATTGAAAATTTTTTATTATTATGTTTGTTAACAAAAATACAAACAAACAAGAAAAGGGAAGAACATTGATGTGAAACGAATATGCATCCTCATTCATCCTGATTTTTTGTGAAATTTATGTCTTTTAGTCTCAAACTACGTATTGTGATTTTTTTTTGTATGACATTTTGTGAAAAATCTGTACATGATGGAGAAAAATGGATATACTTTTTGGATTCAGAACAGGAATTACTATAGAACATGTAAAAATTTCAAGACAATTAAACCATAGGCCTGTAATATAAATTTCATTATGATGATAAAACAGATAAGAATTGAGATTGAAACTCTGCTGGAAATGATGAAACAATTAAAAGAAAGCCAAGAAGAGGGAGACAGAAAATTAAAAGAGCATCCAGAAGCAAAAAATTAAAATAAAAACAGGAAGAAAGAGACAAAAAGTTAGAAAAATAAAGGAAGAACAAGAAGAAATATACAGGAAATTAAAAGATCAATAGGTAATAAAGAGGAATTTAAGAGGAAAGTTTAAAAAAAAGAGAAAATAATTAAAAAAGAAATAAAAACAAAAATAAATATGATTGAAAACAAGATTGATGAAGCAATTGGAGATGTACAGAGGGATAACAATAATAAGAGAAAAGAAGTACAAAAAAAACCACCAACAAAGTATGGAAAGGCTGTAATGAAGTATTACAAAAAGAGATCTGGAAAACGAATTGGTAAATGCAAAGATTAAACCAGTCATACCTTTTTCTGCATCTGCCCAAAAATTCCAACCTAAAACACCATCCACTACAAAATATGAAAACTTAATTGGTCTACCCCTTTACTACTACTGCTGTGTCATCTGTTACTGCATGAGCTTCTTGGACAATTCCAGCCATGTAACTACCAAATCCAGTTCCAGAATTTAGCTGGTCAGTTCAATAACATTGCTTGATTGAGAAAACCAATGGATTATGATAGAAAGGTACCATGGGAGGCATATCACGTTCATTAAAAAATAATTTCCAGAGTAAAGAAGTGGAATAGTGAACAACAAGCTATTATCACGCTGCCCATTTAAAAGGATTTGTTTGTTTGTTTGTAATTAAGCACAAAGCTACACAATGGGCTATCTGTGCTCTGCCCACCACGGGTATCGAAACCCGGATTCTAGCGTTGTAAGTCCGCAGACATACCGCTGTACCACTGGGGGGACCATTTAAAAGGACCAGCTTTACTGACACTAAGTAATTTTCTCGTTGAGAGGCTTAAAAACTATCAAGCATTGGTAGCTGCCTTATCTAATAGGTTCAGAGTGACATACCAGAAAGAAGTATCAAGCGCAAAGTTCAGGAACAGCTGTACCTGTGGAAGATTTGGAAAGGATCACCCAATTATCTTACTCAGATACTCCATGGGAAATGATGGACTCATTGGCACATAACCAATTTATAGGTGATATAACAATTAGCCTGAAGCAAAGTAAGTTCAGATCTTGAAAGAAAGCTTTACAGTTGGTGATGGAAAACTTGCATTTATTAAAGTTACAAATAAACAATGAAAGGCACCACCTAAAAGTTACAGGATCATTAAATCAAGTAGTAATGAAACATCAAGTGCCCTTAACATTAGTTTAGAAGAACTGAAAGGATTAGTTGGACAACTAATTACAAAAAATGAAGGAAATAAACCACAAGAAAATAGATATTTTAAGTGTAACTTGAAAGAACATACTATCAGGAACTGCAGACAAAAGAATAAAAACTCCTCTCAAAGGATACCAGAAAGAGGGAACTGTTATAGTTGTGAGAAATCTGGCCTATGGGGAATCAAGAACCGTTAATACACCACAAACAAAAAATCCTAAGAATGAGTCTTTGATCCCAATCAATTCAACGGAACAACAAAGAGTCAACCATACATCAGAAAACAGGAATTAGCTTGACTTATGAGCCAAAGTTTAGTTGAGAATACTCCATATGCCCCCAAAAGATATTGAACGGTTCATTATTTAAAGAAACCAATCCATGGGAAGTCTTGAAATATAGTATTAAACACTGGTTTTATAGCTACTGTAGTTCAACCTGATTTAGTAATGACAAGTGAGAAACTGCCTCCGCTGACTAAGAAAGAAGATGGATTGACAAGAAGAATGGACATAAAGTTCCAGCAACAAGAAAGTTGGAAGTTACCATTACTGTGGGAAACTTTTCTTTGTCTCATAATGTATGGGTAATTGCCATTAAGGAAGAGTGAATATTGGGAACTGACTTCATGTGGAGACATGGATGCAAGGTTAGGCTAGCTTCAAATAACTTCACAGTCTATGACCAGGAAATCCCTGTGTGCTACATGACAATTACTACACCAGGGTTGAACTTCCAGCATCAACAAGAAGAGCAGTCACTGTACCACCAAGAAATGAAATACTCATACTTGGAGTTATTAGGAATAAATATATGGCTAGTGACAGGGGCATAGTGGAACCAAACACTCCAGCATATCCTGAGGGATTGATGGTTGGAAGAGCTCTCATGAATCTAAAGAATAAAGATATTATACATAACTTTACATGGGAAAAACTTAAATCAGCCAGTGACAAAATCAAAAGTTGATATAATGTAATACTGATAAGACTGTATTCCATCAAGGTGACATAGTATGTCTGAACAATTTCTACTGTACACTGAAAACAAGCAATCTTGTGGTTCACAGAATCCAGAATGTGGGGGATTCATCCTGTTCAAAACCAGGTGGCATCGGGAATTTGTCTTCTGGTCCACAGTAAGAGGAGAATACTCACCATTTACACCAACAGAACACCACCACCCTACTCTCAATTGAGTGGAAGCAGTCACACTCAGGAAGAAGATTCCATAGTCCTCTGCCCCAGTGGCTAGGAATTGGAAAGCTGCAAGGACTCCTGTACTCCACTGGAAGAGGAGAGGAACAACCTGGTGGGGAGTCTTGGAAAATGCAAAACCATAAAACAGTGCAATGGGTGACCATAAAAATCCTATTTTGAAAAGCAGACCAGTCCCGGTTTATTCAACTAGGACTGAAGGGATGGGCAGCAATCCCAACACTGCTTTACTCATGATAGTATGGTATAGTCTGGCACAAGCCTTATTTAGAAAGCAGGGTATTGTAAGGAACCCGCTAGTGGCCTTGTGGAACACCCCATTCCATTCCAACAACCCAGATAGGACACACATGCATACAAAGTACACAACCAACATCAGGCCACCCAGGAACCAATTTTACAGACCTGTAAGATCATATGGTGTGGATTTAAAGTTAAGTATACCCTGACAGGCACCACTGAGCAGGATCCAGAGACATATACACAGGCCACTGTAATAGTAAGATATATAAAAAGAGAACTTACCCATTCAGAGCCAATAAGGGATATGTAGAATGGTGACAGGAGGAAGTTAATATCTGGAAGAAGAGATGGCCAGAAGATGATAAAAATGTGCAATGAAAGTAAGTGAGTAATCCACATGTCAGTTTGCCTGAACTCCTCCAATGGATGACAAAAGTGAAAAGCCAGAGAGAAAGCAAGATGTAAAATTTGGTGAGGAGACATGAAAGAGTCAAAGTGAATCTACATCGAACGAAGCATAGGCTAAATGAATGAGGTGCTTTCCCTTGAGAGTAATTGGAGAAATATATTGGGAAAATGAGGAATTACAAAGAATAAGTACATAGGAGCATAGCAGGCTAAAGAATAACAAAGAATGGGATGGGACAGAGAAAAACAATTCTAAACAGTATTAGAATAATATTGAGAAACAGGAGGAAATAAATATAGGAAGCAGGAAAGGCATACACATTACATCTCCTATGGCCACAGACAAAATGTAAGAAGTAGGATCTAAGTGAAATATGGTACAAGGAATAAGAGACTAAAATGTAAGAGTTTGGAGAACAGTATTCAGGTCCAAATCATGAAGGACTGCAAGAAAAGGAGAACAAAGGTGGCAAACGAACAAAAAAGGATAGGAAAGACAGGAGAGAAGAATATATTATGATAATAAGACACCTGAAAGTATTAGATAGAGCTGCCTGGTTACCAGCCACCAGCCATGGTCGAAAGCAGTAAGCCTCATTTGAACAGCCAAGGAAAAAATGTGAGAAAAATAGGGTATAGAAGGAAGGGAATGGAAGAACAACTGTCACAGAGAACAACTATAGAATATGCACCCTTGTTGTGGACAGACAAGAAAAGTTAGAATGAACTGAACAAGAAAGAAAGAAGGCTACACGTAAAGAGAGTCTGGAATGTCTTGCAAGGAACTGGACCAAACCCACACATGAAAACAGAGTGATGACACTGCTGGATGGGAGAAGGAGGAGTAAAAATGAAATATATGCGCTAGCCGTCCCTAATTTAGCAGTGTAAGACTAGAGGG